TTTGGTTGAGCGGTCTAGTAAACGGTTGTGCCTTCCCCACTCCGGTCTTCTATATTTTCGCGGGCACGCAGGGTAACGTATTGGGGCCTAGATAATCGCATTGGCCCCGGCATGGTTCAAGACAACATGCCGGGGCCCTCAACAAAGACAAATTGTCGAGGCACGGGCTTTCAAACGTAATGTTTTAACAGCTTTCGAATGCTTAATATAAGCAGAGCACCTTACAAGCTGCGTAGATGCGTGAGAGTGTAGAGTGCTATGCTTACCGGGGTTTTTGTCAACCGCTTGAAGATACATCCAAATCAGCCTAGATATATCCTCGTCTGGGTAAACTGAGGAGAAAGCAGCTGGTGTACGCGACTTTGCCGATGACACATTTTGATTCATCACCTTCGGCTGCATTTGTCGTTGGGAGCACGAGGGGCCATGCCATCCAGGTGGGCAAAGGCAGAACGCGCCATTTGTGCAAATCTACAATGGAATGGCGCCGTCAATAATAAAACCAAATACAACCGCTACTTATGATTTATAAGTAGAGGGACTTACACCCCTGCCAGAACATGTTGCATTGACGGGGGTTGTGGGGAGGTTGCGTCGCACGGCGGGGTGAATGAATTCGCCTCCGCCTTCCTCATTACCAGCGGGAATGTATGGGCCACGAGGACACTTGGAGTGGACAGCAATGGCCGTGGGTTTGATACAGCGTCTTTGAAAGCAGAAGCGTCCCACATCGCACGAAGCGCCTTCCGGAACATAACTGAATTTTTGGGTGCTGGCAACGTATCTATGCGGATAAATGAAGAAGTATGTTTAAATGAACGGCACTGTTTGGGCATTACGAACTTAAGTAGTAAACACTGTATTTGAATACTAGTACTCTTAGTTTTTTAGTCCTTCGCGGGACCACGGAACGTAAAAGTGGTAAATTCTAGGCCGAGGTCGCTGCGCTTCCTGTCGGATGATCAACGCCCTCAACGATAGAGGCGAAATTCCCATGCACTCATGAGAGTTACACACACTGTGAAGGCCCAATAGCAGTGGAGCAATACGTGTCAAAGGAGCCAGGAGGCGTCAGCGACCAATCACAATTATCGCAGTGTTATCATCACCTATCACATGGACCGAGGATGTCAAGGTCGATCAACAGGCAAAAAAGTAAACGATGTGAGTTCTAGTGTCTTGTCAGTCATAGGCTTGTAGCAGATTAACAGCGATCGCGCCTGAGTGAACCCTGTTTACTGATTTGACGGTGACAATGACTCATCACCTTTCCATTGGTTACTGTTGTCAGACGCCTGTCATCCGTTCACTCATCCACACACTAAGACACACTTGGCTGGCGTGACGCTAACAAACGGTTGTGTCCTCTGTCGCCCCTTTTTCCACTCTTCTTGGGTTGTTCCGGGCTGTTAACTAGAGGGCTGTAAGGTAGCGCTAAATCTCTAGCCACTACAGACGACCGGTTGTAGGCAATGATTCCGTCGGGGTCACCAATTTGTTGAGGACCTTTTGCCGCGAGGCTAACCCAGAAAGACAATAAGTCCAGAGATGGTAGGCACGACCGTTTACTAGACCGCTCAACCAAGTTGTGTCGTTTTACAGTTGAGTGGACATGTAAATATGAACAGGCGTTTGTGAGGACACATGACCAATGCGGGAAGTGGTGGTGGTGATGGTACATTCAGCGGGGTGATGAACCAGCGGTCTCACGTGACAAGGGGAGAGGTGCGCTGAAAGCTGCGAGGACAGGGTTATTGGACGTGAATCAACACGATTCACTACAATTCGATGATCCGTAGCGCAGTATGTTGGATAGCTACCATTTGGTAATTTATTTGCATTCGTCACTAATACGGTGCGTGGCCAACATGTAAATTTTGGCGTCTGAAAAGTGAATTTTTAACATGTTTCACTACTTCCATAAGCTGCTATTGTGATGTCATCAGTCAATCAATTCTTTAACAGCAAGGCATACATCAAAGTTCCATTAGTGAAATCCTTTAATTGGATTATTGCATATGAACCGTTCGCTCCATTCTAGGACATCCACCATGTTCTGTGTTCTGAGATGACTGATTTCCAGGAGACGAATACTTAGTGGCGCAAGTGCCCAGGGCACCCTCGTGACTGATTTACTCCACAAGAATTTGTAGCTTTTTTTTACGGGTTAAACGACAAATGGCGCGTCGTGTCTTGGCTCCCGTGGCACTCTCACACGAAAAACGCATTGGCGGCAACAAAGGTGTAGCTCGCAACCTTGTGATAGAGCGATTTCTATGCCTACAGCCGGTCAGTGCTAATGGTTAGCATTTTAAGATTTCAGTAAATAACTCGTGGATTGTAGCCCTAAAAATAAAAGTGCAACGAAGAAGCCGCCAACCGAGTCTTCGAGTATACAATGAATGAGGAAGACACATCCCACGATGGGCCTTAGAGCCACCTTTTTTCTTAAACAGTGAATCGTGAAAACGGGAACAACGATGCTGCTTACTGGCACTGAATCTTCTGTCGATCGTGCTGAGTGCGAAGATTGAAGAAGCTTAGCGAGCGCGCCTCCACCGGAAGTGGTTCATCGGTGCCATCGCGACAGTGAAGAAGGCCACACATTGTGTTTCTGGGAGACAAACCAAGGAAATTCGCACTTACGATTCAAACACACACACGCACACACACTATTCCCGTTTGAATGGCATTATAATAAACATTACACAAGATGTAATAATGAATTAAACCGACCAAAGTAATGCACCGTTTGTCGAGTGCGAAGCACCCTACAACGTTTGGAGAAATCTACCACAGCTGAATTATTCCAGTGCTCAATCAGCTTGATTAAGGGAATCTAAGGGAAAGAGTTAAGAGGCAATTCGATTGAATATTCTCGCTTTTGTGGGTTATTCATATGCTTCAAATACATTCTTGGTAAAGTACCGTTGACGACTTCATAAGTGACATTAGCAGCCAACCAATGGTTATAGCAAATCGCAACGTACGACGAAATGCTGTATTCTGTAAGAGTTAATTTTTATTCGACGTACTCATCCTCGCAGATCACGCCTTCACCGCAGGCAGAGTCGATATTTTTGTTCAATGACGTGTAGCAGAATTCGTCGGCCGTGCGAGCACTGGGTCCCCAGAGGGCCTTGCAGTGGCTGCTCCTCGTGGGACATCGTCCCTCATAGCACAGCGCGTTTTCCCGTTCCTCAGCTCCCACGGACGCTGCCGCTGTGCTTTCTTCACTCGTCTTGGCATCCACACGACATGGCATGCCATTTTCAAGATACAAGTCTGATGGGCAATTCGGCTAAAAAATAAAAAAAACGGTCAAATCATGACATTTTGAATAACAAACGCCTGGACATCAAGCTCTCGAATTTAACGGATATTACTAGATTTTTAATAGTAATTCTGGCATGAACGCTTTCACCGTAACTGGGCATAATTTATTCTATTTAAATTCAGATGGAACTCGGATTGAAAAACTACAAAAAGTGATTTCATACAGCTTTCTCTAAAAAAACCCAAATTGAGAATTTGAAGTTGAGGCTAAACACGTATTCAAATACTGATGATAAAGCCTACCAAAATGGAAGAAAATTATGCCTTGAAGTTGTCTTTTAAAAACACAAACATTACTTATACCTGGGCGTTTTACACCAATTAGGAATTTTCGACAATTTGCCCGCGGATTTAAAGTTGGTGATCCGGTTTTTTGTAAAGGAAAAAAGCCCGAGCACATGCACGCCATGGATTCATTTAGCGCATCGAGCGATTTCATTTTGAAGGAATGACGGGATTAGACAGTAATCCATCCAATTGGACAGTGGGTGGATTTTACATTTTTTATTAATAAGTGAATGAAAATAAACCCATTTAACAATCACGACAGTAATTTAAAAGTCGTTTACCAAGAAACAACTCTTCCCTTGCAAAATTTCTAGCATGCTGTAAAATACTGAAAATTTGGATTGTATGTGAATATCCGACGAGAAATTCCTTCAGATCTTGGATCGAAAAATGGGATTACAGACAAAAAAGAGATTTCTTTAATTCATCATGAGATGATATGGTGGAAAGTATGACTGAAAATAAGGGATAACCACTGAAATGAGAGATCAAAGTGAGAAGGAATTACGTGAAGTGGGGAGGGACTTGGATTTTGAGAGATGTGGCCATTCGACTTGTTTGGTGTGAAGAGCCTCCATTCCACAACATCCTTGACAATGAATCACACTTTTTTACTAATCAACTAAGCAGGCACGTCTTTTGGAAATACGAGGGATGAATTAGTTGTTACAGCGCAGTGAAGTTGACAAAGTATTGGTCGCGGTACAAGTCCAAGGTGTGTACTTTACGGCCACGTGCCCTTTTTCATTTCTTGAAAAGCACGAAAGGCAAAAAAAGCTATCACAAAGCCTTTTCAGAGGTAATACAAAAGGATACATCAAAGTAGTAAGAGGTGCAGACGCCTACATGCAAAGCCAACCAAATGCAGAAGCGGGGCTGCTGTAAAACACCCCACACAAAGCTGATCACCCACATTACAATACATTTCTCAAACAGACCACATGTCCATCCAAAGTGATGTCAACACCAGACGCCTTCGCGTTTTTCGTTACAAACCGCCATAAGATTCTACATTATGCTTGATTGACCAGAATCTTTTACCTACAATTATGAAGATGACGTCTCGGCAGAAACAATGATGCCTGATGAAGGCTGCTTAACGATTCGGCAGAAATTGCGGTCTCTGGGTTTTGAGCCAGTAAACGATTCTGCAGAGGATTTCTCGCTGAAACAGGCTCCAAAAAAACTTACGAATTTCAGCCCAATTTTCGATATCTTAAGTACAATTAATATAACAAGATCGGTTCACGGGCAGTGCTAGCACCGGTGAAACGATTTCGGCACTCACACCAGTTTGATTCTGGAATATTTAAATTTATGAAATAAAACCAACCCTCTATAGGAAAAGCCAAACTGCATTCCAACTAGTAAACTGTCTTTACTGAAATAGTAAGGTTCCTTTCAACGTGTATACGAACCAATATCGAGCCCCTAATTATTTATCCTACATTGCACAAAAGGAGGTTTATCAGAGGTGTGCACCTCTTTGATTCGGTTCTACCCCCTTTTTCGTGTTCCCTCTTGAAACAAAAACGACATTGCACGAAAACGACGAAACGGAGGAGCGCATCGTCATGTTTTTCTTTAGCCATCAATGTCTTACCAACCAAAAACCATGCGCCCTTTAGACAATGCTGTGTTTGGACTTTTCTCTCGTTAGCTGCCTCAAATCTTTAATTATAAAAAAAAACTAGGTCAGACTTGCGACAAATAATCCCAATGAACCTATTAATTTACATATTATTTGTTTAAATTACAAGGAGTGATTGCGTTTTCCCAGGCGTTAATTTCCAATGAATCAAAAATAGATCCTTTAAGCAGATGGCCACTGGACACTCGATGATATTTTAGCAACTTTTCCGATTTTTTTGATTGTTCCGACGGGTGGAAAGTCCCTTCCCTACTGTTTTTTTACCGCCCAGGCAAAATACCATGGTATTTTAGAACGGAGTTAGAAAATATTGCACAAGAGATGTATTTGTGAATTAGAGCCATTCTTTCTTTGGTGCAGTGCTCGCTTCACGAACTCAATCAGCTGTTTTGAAGTCACACAGCTCTCTGAATGTGGCAGTTGTGGAGTCCAAGCGCCAAGGAGTCGAATATTACGCATGATAAAACATCACCTTAAGTGACAAGCATGTGTTTTCAACTATTTTTTTGAAAAACCCAAAGGAAACCCATCTGCTAGTCAATGGCATATTAAACAATGAAAAAAAAAATGAAAACGAGCATGAGATAAGTGTGAGTTGCATTCAGCGTGTGCTCACCTCCAATCCTGAGCAGAATTCTGGAAGGTCACACTGGTCCCTCGCAGGTCGACAGAGTCGGCCCCTGGAAACCAACTGGCAGCCCCTGCAGCACGCACCGTCGACGCAGACGGCGTGCACATCGGCGAGGCATGTTTTGGGGTCGCAGCAGCCAGTCGACGAGGAAACACTCCCGTTCACGATGCCGCTGCCAGTTCCACCGGGCTGGAAGTTTACCGTGATTCCGTGTTGGTGCGGCTCACACTCCTCACCCCGGTCCACGACCCCGTTACCGCATGTGTCAATCGTCAGTGATTCTCGCTCCTAACAAAAAATGCTGTTTAGGTTTATGGGTCAAAGCTTAATACATACTAATGTGAACATTTTAGAATAACCGATGGGAAAGGGGCTTTTAAAAATTATGTGACGGAAATAAGACGCTACAGCGTCTGCAGAAGTGTTCGCATCCCATAAATAACCGCAAAAACTGATCGCTACATTCAATAGAGGCAGAGTTTAACGTAACCATAACACCATCATCTTACCGAACGTGTAGGATCCATAAGTATATTAGTAAGGATTTAGCAACTAACCACAAGGATCTGTAACTAAACTCAACCTATTACCACCAAGAAATTCGAGCGCATTAAACACAAAACAGCGGTGGACAACTCGTTTATTGGCTGACAAATATTATTTCAAAAATACATCACAGAGTACTATTTTGGGGGGTCACTAAAGTGTCTTGCAGTCAGTAATTTTACTGGCATCCACCACAACCTAGGAATAGCTTCCATAACTTCACATATCCCTTTCTACGAGCTGACGAATCAATGCTTTCCAAGATGGTTTGACCTGATGCGAATTACTGAACTTGAAACAGGTTGCCTGGATGAGCGCAAGTGACCCAGCCATTTCACTTTGCCACACATGACGAAGGAGCGCATCAAGGGCCGCTATTCGAGGTGGAGGATGTCAGCGAATTTTTAAATATTCCGAGTCTCAGAGCACGGTTGCCGGTCTTGATAATGTACCAGACTTGATCTTAAGGCCAATCATAATGCGCGCACAAATCTTCACCATAATTTTAAAGTACCACGACAATGCACCCACAAATGTAGACAAACGCCACTGAACCACCAGTTTATAGTTTCTGCATAGTTTCTCGAGCTATAAATTCCTTCGCATAGGTCGCATTTTCAAGGAGGCGGTAAGAGTCGAAGTGCGACAGATGACCCACTGCGCATGATTGCTGGTTAATCGTGTGACACTAGATCAGGCTTGGTGACGCATATTTGCAAGCCCTTTGACCTCAATGACTCCGAAGCAAATTAAGCCACTAGTTTCGTGATCTTGGAGCAGACAAAAATCGCATTCGTCTCAACTGCGACAACACACCGATATATTTAACAATAAAGACGCAACAATTTAAAAGGTTGCTAAAACATTGAAAATATTTCTTTGACGGATGGGGCCACACCAAGCATACGCTCATTTCGTTGCTTAGTTTGCGGATTACGGACTGCGACCAATGGCTCAAGTTAACATGAAATTTTGTAGTTCGATGCCCACAAGTGATGATTTCTGTTGAGATGGATGGTGGACTCACACACACTTCAGACGTCAGTGTGTGTGACACCAAATCCACACCTCGGGTACCAAATTTGTCGATCTTTTGAGTAACATTCACAGAGGATTGATGAGTCTGGAAAATCGATTTAAATTAGTCGAGTACTCTCTTCCGCTATTTTTTTACCCACTTTGGTGGGAGAATGCAATACTACGATGGCCAAGACTCAATTTACTATTATGTGGTTGCGAGGTGAAACGCCAAACCAGCATGTCATACTAGGCGTGTGTTGTGTGGCCAATTGTTTCCTTCAAGAAAAACTAGAATAAAATGAATCGTTAACATAAGAGCCCACACGTAGACACCGGTAAACTTTTGTCCAAATAAAAGCACGAATGTACGAAATTTTGCAAGTAGTGTAATTTAGTCCACTGCCCTTCCAGACTGCATAAATTACAAGGCGTGGAAACTTGCCTCCACGGAGGCGGACCTCAGACAGGCAGATATCCCGCTGAGAAGGGCGAGTCTGAGGCGCGAGAGGTCTCCCCGGGAAAATACCTCGCGGTCGTCGCAACTAAAAGCAAGCACAGTTTACATAACAAACCCAAATTCTTAAAGACATTCCAAGTTAGCTTGGTGGAAGACTACATTAAACAGAAGAGTGCAGTAACATGGTGTCTTTTTCACTTGATTTTGGATTGGACTCGGTGAAGCAAAATAAGTACTTATAAATACAAAATATCATAAAGAAAACGTGTACGCGAACTTACTGAACCACAGTAAATATACCTGATAACTTAATCTATTGCAGAATGTTCTAACAAAAACGTCATTCTTTAAAATTCGAAAATGCTTTTGACCCTTCAGATGAATATCTACCCGATTTTCACTGGACAGAATTTAAGCTGATCTGATCAACTACCCTTAAAGAGCACATACCATTCCATTCCATTGAAATAGAGGCATAAAAATAGTCCATTCAATGCTCTCTTAACTTGATAAAACATTAATTTACTGACCTCAGATTTGCATGTAAATAGCATAATTTAAGATTTACCTGTACATCTCGGGACAGGGGAATGACAATATGCCAAGAATTTCGGCAATTGACTTGGAGACCAGACGGGCTACATGGAACTCAAAATCGGTCAAGTTTACCTAAAAGTAAAGAGGATAACGTAAAGACAGATGAAAAGGTCGAATAATTTCGCATTGCACTACAGAACATTAATCAGGAGAAAGCGTGCAAAATAAGCAACCACGTGTTATATGAACGCTACTATCACTTTACCCCCACCTAGCCAAAAGGCAAGGCTTTGGCATAAGGGATAACAATAGCCGAAAAACAACAGTCCTGGAATTCCAGAGTCACCTATTTTGAGGCTGACCATGTGGTGAATCGTGTGGCTTCACGTTTATCCGCTCTGTCGCAGCACCCTCCAACTCACTACCCCTTTTCACGGTGTGTCCGTCAGCCACACAGGACCGCTTGTTCGTTCACCCCCTTGCATGTATCACCACCACCTGCCTTATCGATCTGGCCATTCAGACATTTCAATTTTTACCGGTTCACTCTAATGTATGGATCAACAAAAACACACGATTAACCCTCTCGTCTCACGTCTTCTTTGGGTACTTCACGTTGTATTGGAGCCGCAACAGCCACAGTGCTTTTTGAAGGTAAAATTTCGTGAACCTGGCAGTAACAGGTCAAAAGTGGTCCAATGCCCACTACACGTCTACATGGCACAAGACCTTCCACACAGGTGGAGTCATCATGTCCAGAGTTTATTGGCCATTTATCGAAAGGTCTGATTATTTACATAATTACAACTCCTACTTAGTAATTTAAAGTTCACATAATATCGGCACGACGTAAAATATCGAACAATGACTTATTCCTTATTAAATCATGAAAGTATTCCTGTGTTTTTAATGCTAAGTTGAATAGACTGATGTGTCTTAGTGATTGGTTTGGTATTTGAAATGCTGATTTTTTTGCATGAATTTGAGATCTCTGCCGAATAATGAAAATCTGTTCAAGTATGGCTCACGTCTCAGTATTCAAAGATGTTAAATTCTTGCCGGATTTCAGACACATAATGGACAACTTCTCTTCATCTTGATCATCAGACAAACAATTCAGGCATTTATGCTAAGGCTAAACTCAGAATGTGACGTTGCAACTTCAACCCCCTTCACCACAACATAACACTTTTGGGGAGTTTTAGGAGTCAATTTCGAAGTGTCACACTCGACAAATTAAAAAAAAGACCTTTATTTGGACGTGATGTAGCTCAGATCAGGTAAAACATTTCATCAAAGCACTTGTGAATCATTATAATGTCACACTTTACCACGAACCATCTGAATTGCCGCGATGTTGGCACCCCGTGATAAGGCTGGTGTACGAAATTGTGATTCGGCGAAAAAAAATACGCTGACACTTATTTGGGCGCAGTATTGTAGTCACAGCCGCACGTCCGCTTGCAGTGGACCTTGTGAATACCACATCTGGTTGACAAAGTGATAAAACAAGCTCCGGTGGGTAAATAATGGAGTGCGTGAAGCATGTGACACAGCGAGGCCATTTAAGTGGACCGTCATCACGCGTACGCACTTGCCAAGGCCAATGAGTCATCAGGCAAGGCTTGGACACGGCGAAAGTGGGCCATTTTGTCACAGCGTCTGTGTCCTGTTGTGGAGGTCAGAACTAAACGCGTGTCCGGACTGAAGGCCGTTCCAGCCCATAGGGCGTCACCAGTCAGTCCTTGAATCTACCACGTTTGGAACTGACCTTTCACTGCTGCCAACCATGAATGGGATTTTTCCGAGTTTAGAAGAGAATGCGCGAGTCCCAGAAGCGTTGTCAGGATAAAGTAATCGAATTCCTTTCAAAACTTCAAATTTTGATTTCTCGTGTATTCACTGATTTGCATACAACAAGAAGCGCTGCCGCTTTTAAAAGACTATTTCCGGAAAAACTAACTTCTGCACCCAAGCCTGTAGCCAAAGTCTTGATAAGGAATATATTAAGCTTTCCAAAAGTTATTTCCCTGTCATTATTTTTATTAATTGATGTGAAATTTACAGTAGGAAATATGTCGAATCCATCACACTTGAGCCCCTGTTATGCGGGATTACTTATTCGTCAGTACGACCTCCTTATCAAAAGTATCAGAGACTAAATCAACAAATTTACGTTCTTAAAGAAGCATGGAAATACGTTTTACAAATGAGATTGTTCCCTTTCTCACAGATTTTAGCGGATGGTAACACAAAATCTTATTAAGTATTTTGTTTGTGAAACAAAATTTCAAGCATATGCAGCCACCTCACGAAATGACTTAAGCACTACAATAACACTTGAGCTTAAATTGGGACACAACCATCAACTGAGCCACCAACCAAACTACCTCCATGGTTTCTTCAATAGTTGAATAATCCAACGCTAGGACATCTAACGTAGTCTTCATTTGTAAATGACGGGGTTTGCGTAACAACAGAGCCGCGGGCCGTTTGTGGGTTCATGCGAGGATACTTCAAAATGAGAATGCCGGTAGGCAATTTAACCGGATCTGGGCTACAAGCTGAAGGAGTGTGTTTCGGCAATCTCACTACTGAGCAAAAAATACTGACGGGAATTCAAAAGGGAGCATTGTTCTCGATGTTTGGTTCAAGTCCAGTACGGTGGCACAAAGCCTGTGAAGGCTTTTCGTTGGGGTGCAAACACAACACCTAGCAGCAGGGAGTTACAAATCATACAAAAATCAAAACTACTTTTTGTGTGTACCTTTGGGTTGATTGGATGATACATTTGGTGAGGGGAGTCAATGTAGCTGACAGCTTTCCGCGTAAAGCCATAGGGTGGGACAAGAACTGGGTAATGTGTTGCTTGCGAAGAAACACACCTGCTGTGATCCTGGTGAAGAGCAACCGATAGCAGTCTCTCTTTCAGACTGAAGGAAGCCCTCTTGCCTGGCAGGAAGCCGTGAGACCAGTTAGGGCCTTTGAGCCAACTAATAGCCCAACCTTACAAAACGTTTGTCATGAATTAATGTTAAGATTCCACACCATGTCCACTTGCCGATTTGTGTGCAATCGTTTAGCAAAGCACTGAAGATAAAAGTCGTAGATGTCGGGCAACTACAACAACCGTATCAACCCTTTAAGAAAGAAAGTCCCACTGTTCTTCTAGAGGGTACAAGTGTGTGGATAGCGAAATTGTGGACACAATATCCAATGACCGCATTGTCTTTTTTAAAATGTCCAGGATTGCTAACCATCCATCATAGACACTTCCACCAAATGTGTGGCTGTCTAGCATCTTTTGCTGAAGGTATTTATAACGGCCTTTCTTACTTTTAAGAATTTTTCGAAGTTTGGATCTAGGTCTATTTCATCCAAGGCCAATTAGGAGAGGAGCTTCACAAAAGCAACCTTTCCCAGAACTTACTCTGACTACCGCGGTTCCTCGAGGGGTGCAAATCGATCCAGGAACGGCGATGTAATCGACACCTTCGACGAACTCAATTTCCGTCGAGGACGTAAGGAACAAGGTGATATCCGACTTGCGGTATTCCACGTGTTTAAAGGCACCTTTAAAAGTGGCAAAATGGTCACACGGAAAGGGACAAACATTATTAAAGGTGGTTTGGTAGCAGAACCCTATTATGAGACCGATTTTCAAATATAGCTAAGGCTTCAATAAGAATTTTAGTAGTAATTAGCAAAACGTGCTACGCTTGACAGTATTCCTGATTTCTTATTGATTTTTATGATTAAGAACTCTTGGCGCCTTATTCAAAAGGTAATTTACTAGTTAAAGAGGGAACAATTTTAAACTAATTGTTTAATTAAAACCACACACAACTGAGCCGAGAATTAAAAAGTAGACTGTTGTATAAATCCAATCAAGATTCCAAGTTTTTTTGCTAGAATATCGACATTTCATTACAATTGCACAAGAGAGCAAATTTAAAAGTTAATGCACTAGCTACCGCCATTACCCCAATCTCAACTACTTTTGTGGTTGAGCAGTCTTTTATTTCCATTTGCAGCGGTTGCTGCTTTCATTTAGATTGGTCAGACGTAGTCTGCACATTTTTCAAGGTACCTGGTGACGGCTGTGGAGGGCCGCTGTCATCGAGGTCTTGGGGGTTCCGCTTGTGTCGGCGCAGAGCCCCCTCGACTCTGCTGCTGACAGAGCCCTGTTCAGACCGATAGCGTTGAATGCCATTCAAGGTAGCTTTAATGCTCCTCTCTACTGGCATCCGATTACCAAGGTTCCAAACCTGCGTTCGCAGCAGATGAATTCGAATGGGCAGGTCCCTGAAATGCTGATTGAAAGGAAGAACGCAACAGTCAATGTTCTTCACAGTTTGAATGGAACAAAATGTAACCAAAAAATTAAAAGTAACTTACAAAATTGACCAGGTTAACAACCGAGGCAGTATATCTTATTGTCGTGGTAAAGTTGTCCCCAAATTCTCTTAGCTAAAAGAAAACTGAGCATTAATATTAATTCACATCCGTATTTGATTTGTGTGAGTGATGAGTACAGTTTTGTATGGCCTACATTGGGATTCCTGGTCATTTCCAAATGCTTATACCGACAAGTCATTCAGAAAAGTTCAATTAGACAATTTAGTAAAGTTGAATCTTCAGATCACAGCACACACCAACCCAGTGGTATCGACATCGACCATTCAGAAGTCACAGAATTTCAATTTGCCATTCACCTGCTCAACGAATCATAGGTTAACCGATAGGCTGCGTAACAATGTTAAAAGGTACCTGAGGAAATAGCTTTATTACTCTTTCGGGATGACATACCACTTTAAAATCAAACACAATGCACAAAATGTTAGTGGACTCTGGATGCTTAACGGTCACCGGGAATTAAACACGATTTCGTGGTATGTCAGTACTCGACAATAATGCAAAATTGATTAAAAAAATAAATGATTAACTCGAAGGTATAAATGATTGAACTCTGCACTCCAATGCAGCTGTCAAGTGGTGACAGTCAACATGGTCATTTAGGATATAATACTCTATTTGCATGAATTAATCCTAAGAACTGGCGAGTTGGTCAATGAAATTAGGAAAATAAAACTGACAAGATTCTCATCGACTATAAATTCCAGCCAGAGAGTGTGAAGTGTGTCAGTTGCGGCGGATACGCCTCGCTCCAGACTGGTTTGTAGCATTGCCATCAGGTCAACTGGCTTCCAGAATGTGCGCATCGATGCATCTAAAGGAGGAAGATGAAGGTCACATTTGGCTAACATGGCATTCCAGTTTCGTCTACTTGGCTAGACATCATTACCATTTCGTTGGTGAAACATACATCATGACTAAAAACAGCCAAGGGATCGCGTCAGCAAGCATTTAAACCAATCGAGGGAAGCCAGTTCTGAGTATGCTGCGAACATGATCGATTAATACAGTTTCTTTACTACGAAAGGACCAAATTTCAAAGAAAAAAAGAATATACGCGGGGATAGTATCACCAACATCCTACTTTAAACGGTATCAACTTGCACGACAGTTTAGCAAAGATGAAGTAAATGCCTTGACAATGAAACAACGTCATGGTTTGTTTTATGTGAACATCTAGTCGCGATTTCACGGTAGCTCTTGGACCAGATTAAAACACAGAGGAAAGCTACCACATCGCTAATAAACTATTTCACCCTTATATTCGGCGATTTAAATTCGATTCATAAAATGTTGAACCGAACCGATAGCTGATCGATTTATGGGTCTTGTTGACGCCATAGGCTAGGCAAATGGATGAATGGAAAAGCGACTCACTCCGAGCAACAGGAGTTGCCTGCCATGGTAGAATGAGGTGCGGTGCGGTCTGAGGTTCACACGAGGGACACGGCAACGGAAATATAACGTACGTAACATTCTGATAGAAAATTGCACCCCTGAAAGAATGGAAGGGCACGACATTGAGAGATTGGAAAGCTGGGAGAGCATAGCTATGCAGTACACAGGTTCGCAAAGCCTTTATTTTTTTAAATAACTCAACAATGACTGAGGGGGTGCGGGAGACGTTGTCTTAGGTGGGAGATTTAGGCGTTATAGACTCAACGCATTGGAGTTTGCAAAGTTACCACATAGATACGGTCTACAGTGGGAATCTTCAACGAAGAGAGGTGTCAACACATACCTGAGACCCGAGCAAGTATCTACTGCAGCGTAGGATGTGTTGGGGGCAGTCTCCACTTCCCCGGTATAAAAGCAATCTTCCGGTCTCTAAAATTGAAAAAAAGTAGCAACATAATAAACATTGAGGTTCTTTTAACACGTCCAAAAGTAAATCTATTATTTGACCATACCGTAAGATGGTTGCTTCAGCAATCTTAAGGAACATGTACGCTGCCATTGGGCCGTATTGAGGATCATCACTATTGTCATTTCATGCTTACCAGTAGTTCAGCCACAGCAACTGAGAAAGTACGGTCTAGGCAATACGATATGGTACTTAAAAAGAATTGGATAATTTCAACATCGGCTTGACAAAACACTAATATTTCATGAGCAGAGATGAAGTAGGGAAATTAAATAACTCCTTTATCAATCAGTCAACCCCTGATGTGCCAGGCGCATTTGCGAAACTGCTCAAAGACGACTACTGATTTGGAGGGTGGTTAAATGGCTTGACACCAGTTACCAACATGTCGCAATAAAATTAAAGTTTGAGAAATTGGAAGGCAAAATCTGGTGAAAAAGGGGAATCGATTGAACGCAAAATGAGCCTTTGAGTAAATCAGATCTACCAATAAGCTATCTCAAATGTCAATTTGCTTTGCAACGGGCGGTATACAACGTAAACTACAAACGAGAACGCTCTAATAAGAATTTCACTGGTTGTAGACACAAACCTCTGGAAACGCCTTGCCAATGAGAAAAGGTGGATAACACTTAAATTTTTAAGAAATTTCGTGTTGGCTTGTTGGGTCCAAACTAGTATGAGCCAAGAAACCAATAATACTCCAGCAAGAAAGTAACATCAATTTGCAAGGCGCAAAAATGGGTTTAAGGCACAAGAATTAATCAGACCTTTGTGAAAACATCACAGCACCAAAGTAGAGCATAGAGCCAACCACACTTGTTTAAAGACTAAAAATTAATTTCGCCTAGTTCATGCATTAAGTATAATTCTCAGAAACGTATTCGAATGCAAAAATTGTATTCTCACAAATCTCCAAGTCAGTGGTCACACAATAAGGACGATTATTGATAGATATACCCTCTTCAACCCTACCCGCGTAATCGAATCGAAGAGGCCCAGAAATCACTGGACGCGAAACGGTGTTACCGGAAAAATTGCCCGTTTTTTTGCAGCAAGGGGCAGTCAAGGCAAATGCCAGGGCCGAAATAAAAATCACATCGCCCACTGAAGCCGCATATATTCGCGCTAGGCCGGCACTCCTTCTTCTTTCGGATTTGTGGCTGGAGCACTTCACTACACTACACCACACTTGCGATGAGTTAAGGGGAAGGATACATGTGTGATCATCAGGGCGCGGGATGACTAGCATGGTTTTTCCTTAATGTTGCTTCACCAATTCGTGCGTTAAGGTGTAGTAAAAGGAGCACCAGGAAGGCAATACACAGGCAGCAGTGCGAGCGTTCTTCAAAAAGCATAGATTATCATTTATCACTGAGGAAAGGATTATGCAGCAGGAAAAAGGTCGGTCCTCGAAGAAATGCATACAGGTGTAATTAACACTGGTGACTACTACCATCACTCTTGTTATCATTTCCATTGGCCTTCGGCGACCCTAGGCCTGACAAGCGGCCACCGCCGAAAACGCCATACTTGATTTGATCTATCAGTACCGTAAACGTCTACAACTAAAATTTCCATTCGATCAGAAATTGCTCTACTTCCCAGTATAATTGTTTGGGTTCATTGACGAAGATGTCAGGTACCTCGGAAGGCTGTGGAAGACGGGCGGCTAATTGAGCCCACAGAATTGACACTGCTCGTAGGATAAAGAATCACAGCATGGTGGAAATCCTCTGACCGAACCGGAATGCAAATGTCACATTTGGAAAAATAACCGAACACATGGACCATAGGGCGGACTGGAAAGGCAGTAGTCAAAACAGAAAACGATGTTGCTTTTTGGCTCCTAGTGACACTGCATAATAAGTAAATTCGACTCGTAAATCTGTACTGGGCCAAGTGTCTTGAAGTCCGATTTGTCGACGTCCAAGGGGAATACAACAAAGAACGAAAGACAACTCACTGCAAGTGGAAAGTGCCAAATAGGCTGCCTCCGATTTAACGCATTTACCTGTGTAAATAGGGCCAAGGTGAGAATATCGAACAGACTGAATCCCAGTATTTTGAAATTGAACAGTCGGTTTGTGGTGCAATGCCCAAAGACACAGGACTATGCGAGGAACACACGAACTTTTCTCTATTATTTAATTATACGCGGTAACACGTCTTACGTCAAGTGTCACCAATTAAAACTATTATTGTACTGAGGAGTTTAGACAATAGGTAGAATGATAAATTTCGTGTGTATAAAGGCACCAAGCTTCCAACACCAGGTCAACATTTTCGCATTGATATTTCCAAGCTGTTAACTATTGTTATCGCTTCATTAACTGTACAACGTGTTTTTCGTCACCACGACTTCTTCGGCAGCCCCGTGCTGGAGAGTCAAGTATGGCGTAACTCCTTCAACAAGCCAATTCAATATTGAAATGTTTAGTATTTCAAACTGACTGCAAAAAAAGGTTTTAAAATCTACAGCCACGAAGACATGATGGGCACTAAACCGAGTTTCATGTAGTAGGAGCGCGGGTTTAATCTTTCTATGTGAGCTACTCTGATGCAGAGCCTTCACGACCGATAAATGCGCACTGTGAGATTTCAAACAAAAAAATGCTTATTTTGAAGGTTAACAGTTCCGTAGAATAACAGTTCATGGTATAATTACATTCAAGTAAATGGCAAATTTTAGTTGACCATGTTGCTATCAAAATCGGACAATACTTACTTTAAGTAAAACACCTTGATGACATTTCGATCAATTCTACCTTACTAAACCTTCAGAAAAAGAGCAATTTAGAACTCTTGTCAGAGCTGTTGAGTCATCAGAATTGAGTGCTTTCTTACTGCATAAATGTTCTGTTCGAACACACAAAATAAAATCAAAATAAGCCATTCACACAGGAAGTAAGGGAAAGAAACTGCTCAGTTGCAGTATCTCGAAAATAAAATTATAGTTGGACAGGGAAAATCAGGAAATGAGGCAGTCATGTAAAATAACAAACTGAAATGATTACATTCAAGGGAATTAAAAGCAAGAATGCAGGCTACTACAAAGTATGTGGAACGTAGAAAGCGAAAAACACCGATGGCAAATGCTTGTTTTGGTTCGGACAAACAGCATTGGGGCAGCAGGTAGGTTAGAATTCCTTGTTTACACGAAAACTGAAGTCAGGTTTCTAAATGACTCGCAACTAACGAACCCAAGAGGGGACGGCCTTTTTTAGCACATCTTCCCACGACCGTGGACACCTTTTGCCAAAATGTTTGGCCGAGGCACTAATTCTGCTTAAATTTAGAGTAACCTCGAGTAGAAGTCACCCAGTATCACGTAGTAACCTGATCTCAATGCAGCGGGAAAGTTTTTTTTCGAAATTTTATAGGATAGCCTTTACCATCTATGTCTTGAAGATAAAATACAATGCCACCCTCCACACTTCTGCTTCGAAATATTAACCTGAATACGTCCTCAGGTCATAGAAAATGCAATTCCCTACCTTTCTGCCAGACCGAGGCAAATAATAAACAGGAATAGGAGCATGTACGATCATTAAAGGTTTGTGTTCACCTAGACAACATTTTCAAGAAAGTACCCTATCAAACAAAAAAGGAGATCTGCGAAAAATTATTATAGGAAACCGGAATTTGCAGCTTTATTCGGTTCAAGTTTTCCGCAAACATCCTAATGATCATTTAATTTATGCCACTAGGCGCTTTATGTTTGCCACGGTTACGGTCTGGATTTCTGGGGTTAGAGAGTTTTGTTGGTCAAGGATTTTGTTTTTCTTTTCCGCTTCATTCGCAAGTTTACGACCAAGGTGCATGCTAGAGTCAATCGCCCAAAGCACCAATCAGAAGGGCGGCGGGGAATAAAATTTTCTTGCCCCGATGGATCAGGCGCTTGTGCTCGCATCAGGAAATCAGTCCCCAATTCCAGGTCAAATTAAAAGAGTGGACAAAATTCTGTGAATCCAGGCCTGTTGCGTTCCGCGAATGAGGGTCGCGCTAAAGTTTGAAACCACGACCCTAAGGAGGAGGTGCGCGACCCAATCTTTATGATATTAGAGTGACCTTTCGAGTTGCGTCACACATCTAAGTGATCACCACGCCTGTCCCTCTTTGCATAACCGTAAGACACAGTCAAACTCTTACGCTTCTTTCGATATGATATACCTGCTTGTGCTTCACTAAATCAATACAAAGAGAACGCGGTGATTGGAGGAATTGTGCACTACTTAAACGATTGCTTACAGACGTAAGGATTTGCCTCATCACAGTTTCATCATTGTTGGAGTATTTGGTGCCATAAAACAGCGGGCCAGAACCACTTGAACAGATCTACCATGTACGCAGAAGCACTGCATCGTGAATTATCTCGTTATCACACTACTATTGGTCATATGCTAGAAGCAAAGACGCCAGTTAAAAACCAAAAATGATATCTTACGATAATTAGGCGATAAAAGCTCTTTTTGACAACCCTGGTCTTTCCTTCTAAGCAACTTACAGTGAAAGATCGATTCTGCTGAATTTTCATTCAATGTTATAAAGTGATTGGCCACAAAATTTTATATTATTTATTTTGTCGAAATCAGTATTACCAAACAAATATTAAAGCTGTTTGAAAGCGGCACAAAGTCGCTTTGTGAAAGTTTCAGTCTAATTCTGTTGGGGATCCACGATTACCCAAGATTGGTTTCTGATGCTATTTACATTTATTCACTAACATTTGTTTTGCTACGTCTTTACCAAGTCAAGGTCAACCTTGACTTGAGATAGCTTTCAAATTACTTTCGATTTCACTTCTCTGCACGTGGCTGACGTGAATAAAGCTCTCTACTCGAGCTCTGGTCTTGTTCTTGCATTAGCCTGGGAAGGTCGGTTCTAGCGTCAACAAGGGATATTATCCCGCTATTTGAGTGGTTTCCTCTTTGTTATGGGCAACGTAACAAATTCGTATTGAACGACATCGCTAATTAGCTAATTCTAAGAGAAATATTGAAGCGACATAGCAAATCAGAGTACAGTAAATGAAATTTTTTTGTGCGATTTACTTGGAAAATGCCACATTCACAACAATGTAAGAAAACATCTCAAAAAACTGTCTATCTGTGATCCCGAACAGTTCTATCAACAGCGAAAAGGTAGTCGCTTTTTCCACGCCCTAATAGACATGGCGTAAAAGCTAACGTACAAGGTCACACTTTCGACTGATTCTGGGCATGTGAAAAAGATTTTCAGTATGTGACTGACGGTAAGAAAAGGCAGTTAGAACAAATGCGCGACAGACATTGCTTTGAAGCCTATAAGCAGTTTAAAACTAAAACCGATTCTAAGGCAATCTTCTCGTGAAGCAATGCAACAAATGCAGTATCAGCTTTCATGTGCACTTAAACTAAACCAGTGTATAGATGATACAAATGTCTGAAAATGCTCAAATACACAAAGCATACTACTTACAGTGAACTCGACTTCTGAGACGATGCCGTTCCTTGACCTGTAGAAGAGGGTTGAGTAATCGCCGTCCGCACTAAATACACTATAAAGGAGTAACGGTTTTACAAATGCTGCACAGTTGTGTGCAATTCAAAAACCGACCTCTGGGGTGATGGAAATTATGTTGGATGCAAAACTAGGCCCTCGTTCGACGCATAACAAGACAAAGTGAATGACAAAAGTGAGAGAAATAAAAATGTGGCTCCTGGCGCCGGAATACATAAATTCTGCGGATGCTGCCTGTCGAGTCTAAGGCTTTTGATTCTACCGTAAACAGAAACAATACTGGCTTTGTTTAAAGCCATTTTTAATGGCAAATGCAACCGGACGCTTAAAAACAACCAGTTGAGGCAAAATTGAATCTACCTTACAAGATTTGTACCGACTTCTGAAAATTTGCAGGGCGCAAACACCCGACAGGTACTTTGACAAATCCTACACGACTACAGCACGCCTCCAACTGCACCTGCATTTCGACAATTTTCAAAAAAAACTGGATGCAATACTAGCCGTAAAGTTTTGGTGCACATGAAAAACTAAATGAACATGGTCTTGGCAAAAGACGAAGTAAATTTTTGCAATGAAAGCTCTATACCATCGAAACGAAGAAGCCTTCTAGTCGAAACGCTGTGTGTTCCAAACAAGTACACATGTCTACAAGGGTAAATCAGAATGATCCCAAAAAAGCTTTGTATACGCTAACCGGAAACCACCACTTATTGCCCCATGTATGTTTCATGCAAATCATGTAACTTTTAGGAAACGACTCTTAACCTCCCACGTAAAAATTTGTGGTTACGTTAGAGCCGCCATATTCAGACACTTGCCTATTAGTTTCTAACTCATATTTGTGCGCACAATCTCGAAAGCCATAAAGCTTCGTAAATCTTCTGGGATCTTTTGACTTACTTATGTAAAATTAGCTAAATTAGGACCGAACATTGCTTTCACTCAAAGGTAATGGGGCTGAGAATATACAGGGAATGGGAATGAAATCTGCATTTCGCTAATAGGTTGTTAGCAAGCCACGCGCATGTACAGAAAAATTTAAAGCCAGTGCAAATGCCGAAAGGCGATATCTTCTCATTGGAGCCGTTGTCCAACTAAAAACAGCTATTTAAATAATACCCATTGGACAAATTGAAATGCCCGTCTTTTAACTATTTTCCCTACCAATCTGTAATAGAGAAAATCTTCCTTCGAATTTGCCCTATAATTTGGACAATTTATTATTATTATTGAAGGAAGGCTTTTAAAGTGCGTACTAACTACGATGGTAGTAAGCCCACAATAAACTGACATCTCGACAAAAACCATGGATAAAGAAGTGAAGTCAATAGCTTACGGTACAGCAAAGTACCATATTCTAGTGTCTGAAAAGGTCAATTACATAATAAATAGGATCGTTACTTCATTCATTCAACTCGACGGCTTATTTCTGCCGATCAACTATGTGAATAAGGCCAGCGACAGACGATCATAATATTGATAAGTAAACGCATCTATGAGGAATGCAGTCGGAGTATTTTGGTCCTGAATTGCTTGTGGGATAATTACCTCCGAGAATTCCCACAATGAACACGATTTAGCATGCGCCCGAAGCCAACAAGGGCGATTTCGATACCACTTAAACCACTGCATTAGAGCTTAAATTCTTACAGAATTGAACCACTTCAGTGCATACATTCAAGAGGGCGTTCAGTTTAGAAGGCAGGTTTCATTCGCATTCTTGCAGAAACTAGCCTGTTGTTCTTATAGTAACAATTGCCATTTCTGCATACAGTGCTTCTTTGGCCTCTTTACAATTAATATTATTCTGAGATTGTGCTGTTACAAGATAACTTGCGCTCATGGTAGGCCGCTTAATTAAGAGGAAGGCCGATGTCTAAAGTATGCACGCTAGTTACGGCACGCAGCCCGACTCGCTCGCAAAAGGCAGTAGGATGAACCTGTATGTGTGTGTGTGTATGTGTGTGTGTGTGTGTGTGTAGAAAAGGAGTGCGCATTTGTGAACAGCACCTCCGTCAACATTATTTTGCCCTCGTATCTGTAGTCCGCCGATGGGCCAAAGTATAGACACTGGTAAAAAACCGAGGAAAATGTGGACTTGACGGCAGGAGCGTCTGCATGAGAAATCGTCAAGTAGCGAGTTACCTACCGTCCTTCCGTTCCCAAGCAGGGCCGCATCTGCGGTTAGGGGGCACCGCCATGTTCAAGGCAAACCACAGCAAACTGATTCAGATCGAAAGGCTTATTTAAATCACATTAGCTATAGTGATCATGAGGACGATCTTCTAAACAAGCATTTAGGTGGATAGGTGCAGAATGAGTTTGGGTGTCAAGGGTCAGCCCCGATATAACACGAATACCTTCAGATTGCCCATTTTTGCAGTTTATTTTCTTAAAATTTGTTTTTACATGAGAAAGAATATTTATAAAAATCTCAATATTTTTGGCCGCTAAAAAAGACGGTTCTTTCAGAACCCGAATTAGGTGTATTCTGGCGTGATTCTCCTGATTTGCTAGACAAATTTTAAGCTAAATTTAAACTAGGCAATAGACTCATACGTCAGTTCAAAATAAGCTGTCAATTAAACATAGTCACCAGAATATTTTGCTCTTTTAATGCTGACGCAGGGAAGACGGTAATGCACTAACACACATTTTGGCCAAATAAAGCCGGCCAAGCGTGTATGGCCTGTCAATGGAAATGGCATCTCGCATGTCCGGTCTGAAGAAGAGGTTAATTGTAAGAATAAAAGCGAATTACTAATCCTTCATTTTTTTGGCGACGCGCCTCTAACTTACGAATTGTTCGTTTCCTCTCTGCCGTAAATACACACAAGAGCGCACACACACACACACACACACACACGCAAAAGGTAAGGAGCCGAGCTAAGGGGATGACGTTTTTTCTCCAGTCCCAGAAAATCTTGGACAGGGACCGCTACTACGACGGGTGTTAGGATTCCTTACCACACGAGAATTTAGTGTTGCCGTTTAGAATGACTTTTAACCGAGAACAATTGCTTCGTAGTTAATTCAGCATAACAGTGAGTGCTGCACAGGCAGGAATTAAAACGTACCTTGACTTCTTCAATTTTATTTGAATTGCTTTTTCACTTCCTAGAAGACTGAGCCGGAATTGAGCTTGTTGAAAATATGACTGCAAAAAAAAATAAACAAGAAAATAGCAACGGAAATGTCCGCGCAAGTGAACATAAGGCAGATGGTTTTTATTCAAAATACGATAGCAACTAAAGTGTTGTGATAGTCTTCATAATTTCTTTGCCGATGGAGAAGAGAATAAGCAAATGTTTTTGAGTGGCGGCTGTTCGCGAGGACGGCAAGTACGTACTTGTCTCATTACTTAGAATAACAAGCCGATCAAGACATTTGTGAAATCGTGTCCCTGTAGTTAAAGTCGAAGACCCCAAAGCTTGCGATGCAGTTCCTACGAAAGAAACTTCCTCATTTAACAACTTGTTAAAAACTTTGCATTTTTTTTATCTAATCAAGCTAAAGGCAGGTGTTTTTCTGACGTTTCAGGACCTAACACAGGTTATCACGACTGTCTTTAAGGGTGTGTTCTTGATGTAAAAGGTCAAGGATCTATCTGCCAATCGACGATGCACATGAACAGGTGTTTTGAGGTGTTGGTGTTTCCTAGGCAAAGCCTGGTTGCCATCAAGAACCACAATCGCTAAAAATGAAGCAATCACACGAGTGTTGCCACCTGGATCACCAACCCCACAACAACATTGGCAGCCTGCTTGGTCACTCATAGGCGAGACGCAGACAGATTTGCCACTTGGGAAACCTCCGATCAGCACAAGGCTTGATTGAACTTAGTCACACGATCTGGTAATTATTACGCAAGTAATCAACGTTGACAATTATTTGTGGACTTAAAGACTAAAAGAGTTCCTCTGTTTTCTAGTACATAGCAAATTAATTTTCAATAGCAGAGGTGACCACGTCTGTTTGCTTCGTGATTTATGCACACTCAAGGTTAACAATAGACGTAGAAAGGATAATTACGCAGATGATCGATAACAGCATCAATCGGAGCACCGATTTCGGAGTTTACGTGATGGGCAATCATTTTTCACGAAACACGTTTACTACGCTTACCCGGGCTCAACCTGGTCTCACCTCTCGACCCTGGCACTTGATCCACTTAGCTCTCGACTCATCCTCGCTTGGCTTGCCTCAACTCTCACCTAGTGCGCTTCCCAACCGGCTCAAGTTGACCAGACCATCCCCTAGGTGTGACAAACCATTTTTTGCAACGGATAGGGGATCGCCAATCTCGCAATACCCAATCAGACGACCAACAGGAAGTGAAGGCCGGTATCGTCGTTCAGTACACACCAACGCCCTGTCCGCGATTATCACGCTCGATTTAACCTGATTTTGTCTCACGTCTCCTAACTCTCATATCGGCCATTTCGCTACCTACTCACCACATTCTACTTCGACCAAACCTGCAGAAATTCTGCGGAAGGAAATGCTTGCGTCGACAACGTAGAATCCCAAAGACTATGCAGTGAGCAGTAATGAAGCATTTCCCGGCGATTCCTTCTACGTATGGGAGAATGTTGGCAATCAGTAAGCTGGCGCGAACTGTGCACAAAATTGCTGGCAAATGTTCTTATCACGCATAAGCGAACGCAGATTCAATCCATTATTGAATCAGTCATTTGATTTATTTCAGCCTCCCGTGTAGTGACTTTTGTTTTCAGTGACTTGAATGTCCTTCGTTCCTACATCACACAAAATGGCCGGCCTCTTGTCTGCGCAATTAACGTTTGAGCCGAACGCTATCAACGACCTTGGAGTCGAACATTTCCTGGTCCCTGTTATTTCGCTTCGTGCCTTAACAACCAACACACTAGGTGTATCTACTGGCATGATAACAACGAGCCAACTAACTACAATCGGCTGATTGTATTGGGTGAGGAGAATTTTTGACCCAAACAGCCACTGCCGCAGGGATAAGACAGCTATTTTGAAGTGGCTCGTCTGCCTCAATGTTCGCTAAGGCTTTGGCATGTTTCATAAGTAGTAACAACCCTTATTCATTTCACTGCCAAATTAAAACGAAAATCGAATCTCCAATTTTGTCATTGGCCCCTAATCGTCTATTTGCTCATTACGATAAAAAAACATTTCACAATCCAACGTTTAGCCTCACAGTTTAGGGTTTGGCTCCCCACAGAATTTTATCGAGTAAAAGCCAGTTAAATTTATTTTACCAACAGGTACCTTTATTCTCTAACTTGAAAGATTAATTTTCCTGTTGCAATAACTAATGGCTTTCACTTGAAGGACACTGTCTTGAAAGGTACTGTCCAAGTCTACTTTAGTAGCATTGGGTCTGGATTCTTGGACTTGGAATGACACAATTCGCCACAATTAAAATACATATTTAAGGAATGAGCAATATTGCTTTCATTGCATAAAATCTAATGAAAAGAATATTCACACACTTTTACCTATGAAATTGGAAAGAGCTGTGATAGTCTACGTGTTTATTTAGTACAGCCCTAAATAAGTAAAGCCTGTGTTCGGAAATCAAGGTTTAAACATTACAGCAATAGGATTGCGTCATTTAGAAATCTCTTCGTCTGGATCAATGGCACAACTATTATTTTTCTTCGTGACAATGTATTAAACATATCCTAGCTAAGTTGAGGGTGACGAGCCTAGGGACTTGGATTTCGAGTGGTCCGTGAACGTCCACGCGTCCCTCGCTTAAGAAACACACGAAACACATAGGTAGAGAAGCTAGGCGGAAAGAAGTTTAGCATCTTGTCACTGGATACAAATACCTTTTTCCACAGAAAGCCAACAAACTCCATCTGAAAACCAAGGATTTTAACACGGTCAAAACACGATTAGACATAGTAAAACTGCAACTGAAAATAAAATAGCACAATGATTCAAACGTACCCATTTACTGGCAGTTGAGGTATCATATTTCAAACGTTTCCTACGTAATTGCTGCAGCATTGTAACCCCAAAAGGAGTTGGAAGGGTTTGCAGAAACTCTCGTGATCCAAGCAAACGCGGGCGAATTTGAGGAACTGAAAAACCAACATAGCGAACAGCTGAAGCACCGCTCAGTAAAAAAATAGCTTGGATGTAATTAACAAGACACTTTCGTGACCTCATTATTCTGCATAAATTGCAGCTATCACAAAAGCAAACTACCAAGGAATAAAAACTGATATTTCGAGTAAACACAAAACAAATAATTGAATGCATAACTTTTTCAAAATATGGATCCCTTTCAGCGAACCTACCACCAAGCGCCTAGGGACTACACCAGACTCCGTGCATGTGTTTCTCATGTTTTTGTAAAGGTAAGAAATGATGATGATGATGCAACATGCTTTTTCGGCAAAAAAGACCTAACGGCACATGATATATGGACTGCAGCACGAGATCTCGATGGAGACGATCCAAGCGGTATGTCTTTTTTAGTCAACGTGCTTCTTAAATAACCCATTAATTAGCGAAACCACTTTAACTGTTACACAAGATGCTAAAAGTGAATTTAGATAATCAAACTTCCTGCAAAAACATTGTCACCGTAGGTTTCTTGAGTTTCGAAGTAATTGCAATAGACTAAATTGCTTTTGCTATGCCACCCACTACATTACGATTTTTGTTACAAAAGCGAACCATCGATCTTTGCGGCGGTCGGTCCCATCTTCTTTCATTTTGTTTGACTAATTTCCTAGGTGTTTGGTGGTAGTGATGAGAGAGAGGGAGAGAGGGAGTGGGAGAGAGGAAAATACCGTCTGCATGATGACTTCGCCAGAAGAAGAATTAGTCAGTAGCCTTTTTATGGCTGCCGTAGTGTAAAGGTCAATCACACGAACACAGTTGTGTGCGAAAAGGCCCATAAACCAAACCTCCTTTCAGTCGGTCGGTGTGATTTTTGCGTGTGCAGATTTAATACTGTTATTTTTCGTACAATGCACTGGCAGTAATATAATGGCACGTTAGTTGTCCAAATGCACATCCACGGATGGGTTTGAGTCCGTAGGACCAACAATTAAGCAAACATCGATGGTTAGGGATAAACCTTTTTGTGGTTAACTAAGGGGAAGGGAGATGAACCAAATCCTAGAGGTGGACATCTTTGACAAACCCCATCATTATCCGATGCTTTAGAAATAACTGGGGGTTCGATTTTGGT